GATCATGCCCATCTATGAATACGTTTGCATATACATGTTCATGCACACGTGCATGCACATATACATATACATGTGCATATACATGTACGTGTACGTATGCATAGACCTAAACATATACATGCACATGCAACTGCACATGTACATATTCAAACGCATCCACACACACATATACACATACATGCACGTATGCATTTACATTTACGCATGCATGCACGCGTCTATCTACATGCGCATATGCATGTTCGTTTACACGTACATATGCACATATCTATGCATGTACGTGTACACGAACATGCAAATATCCATGTTAATGTACATATACATGTACACTCATGTACATACATGAGTGTACATGAATACACATACACATCTATATATACACATACATACGTACACGTGTGCACACACATACATATACCTATACATATGCATATGCACATACACATGCATGTACATATACATATGTACATTTGCATACACATACACATATGCATACACACATACGTACACACATACATACATGCCAACATATATATATATATATATGTGTGTGAATGTATGTATATGCTTGCATATTCCCCATGTGTTCCCCCAAGGGTTTCCAGAACATCTGAGGGAACACCCAGTCCGATAGTTTGGCCAAGCTGTGGCCTAACAGTTGGCCACACTGGTGGTTCCAGGAAGTCTGGGGGCGGCGGTGACTCGCCGTACGCGTCTTCGAAAGGAACACCGGCGGAAAAGGAGGGAAAGGACGACGCTGAGGATTGAGGAGAGAGAGAGGAGGGGGTGGAGGGGTGGAGATGAAACGGAGAGGGCAAATTCACCTCCCCCCCTGCGGGCACAGAAAGACTTCCTCGAGAGCTCCCAGGGTGCAGAGGAAGAAGAGCGAGAGGAAGGGGAGAAGGGAGAAGGGGGCAGGGGAAGGAGGAAGAGGAGGGGGGCTATCCCCCGAATTGCGGAACTCGGGCCTTCAGCGGCCGTCCGGGACGATCCGGGCATCCCGGGACTGCTCTCGGGGAGGCGCAGCCGCTGGAACGCGCCCCGAGGCCTGGGAACCGCCGAGGACCGACGCGAGAACGCCCGAGAACCTCCGACCTCGAGCCCACCACCAGCCCCAGAAGGGTCCTCCTGATCCTGCGGCTTGATCATGCCGCGCAGCCACATGAGCTGGTCCTCGCGGCGCCGGGCGCACGGACGGAGCGGGCACGGGCGCCGCACGACTCGACGGCGGCGCCGGCAGGGCCCCTGTCGGCCGAGGAGGCGGGAGAGAGCACGGTGGCACCCTGGGGGGGCAGGCTGCGCTCGTCGTGCCCGCTCGGGGCGACTCGGGTCAGCCCCGCTCGTCCCGACCTCGTGGCTGCTGCGGTGCCTTATTCTCCTCCTCCTCCTCCTCCTCCTCCTCCTCCTCCTCCTCCTCCTCCTCCTCCTCCCCCATGTTTCTCCTCCTCCTCCTCCTCTTCCTCCTCCTCCCCATCCTCCTCTTCCTCATCATCCTCCTCCTGAAACTCCTTACAGATGGATGTCCCAACACGGTCTGGTGACGCACGGTCAAATGACCCACGAATCCGCAAACTCCGAAGACCGTGCCCAACCGTCTGTCACCAGACCGGTTTGGGTCGAGGGCAGCCCACGGCGTTCGAGACACCCTTGTAAACCCAGCAAGGTCTCAAAACCGTCCCTTGAGCAGGACATGAACTTTCCGAGGTCCGCGCTGATTTCCATGGTCGGCGCTGAGCTCCACCTGGCAGCGCCTCCAGCGCCAGCCCTAGCGTGCTCTGCTCGCCAAGGAGGAGGGTCCGGGGCCGACCCAAGAAACCTGCGTGGACGCCCGAAAACTTTTGTCTATGCAGTCTGTGGTTCCTCAGGAATCGGAAACAGGCGCCGCCTCTTCCAAATCAAGAGATCGAAGCTGCCCGCCTACACCGATCCTGGCCAAACAAAGCCTGGGCACAGGATCGATTCATCCGTACTCCTACCTCGGCCAGGAAAGCAAAAACACCAACAATGGGCCAAAGATTGGCCCGGGCACGGTCGTTGTGCCTCCCCCTCCCCCTCCTCAGCCTCCTCCTCCTCCTCCTCCTCCCTCCTCCGCCTCCTCCTCCTCCTCCCCATCCTCCCCCTCCTCCCCATCCTCCTCCTCCTCATCTTCCTCCTCCTCCTCCACCTCCTCCTATCCTCCTCCTCCTCCTCCTCCTCCTCCTCCTCCTCCTCTCCTCCTTCCTCCTCCTCCTCCCCGTCCTCCTCCTCCTCCCCATCCTCCTCCTCCTCCCCATCCTCCTCCTCCTCCTCCTCCTCCTCCTCCTCCTCCTCCTCCTCGTCCACCTCCTCCTGCTCCGCCTTCCACTCCTCGGCGCCACGAGCTCGTAAAGTGCTCGCCTCCTCCGACAGCAACTGGTTGCGCCAGCAAGGGCGGGCAGGGACCAGGAGAAGCCAAACAGGTAAAGGAACCAACAAGGTCCTTCTTCTCCTCCTCCTCCTCCTCCTCCTCCTCCTCCTCCTCCTCCTCCTCCTCCTCCTCCTCCTCCAGCTCCTACTCCCCTCCTCCTCCTCTTGTCCCCCCTTCTCTTCCCCCCCCCTGCCCTCGCGCATCCTCAGCCTTCCGAAGAGGGATGCGGATGGGGGAAGGGAAGGAGGAGGGGGAGAGGGAGGGGGGAGGAGAAATAGGAGGAGGAGGAGGAGGAAGAGGTGGAAGATGAAGAGGAGGGGGAGGGGGAGGAGGAGAAAGAGGACGAGAGGGAGGAGGAGGAGGAGGAGGAGGAGGAGGAGGAGGAGGAGGAGGAGGGGAAGGAGGAGGAGGAGGATTGATTGATTGGTTGATTGGCCCATCGCGGTGCGATGTAAACACTAAAAGATGTTATCCCCTGGGCTTCTCGAAATACCCGACGAACATCGTAGCAATAGGCTCGACGATCTGGAAAACGGTGAACCACTTGACCAAGCAAAAAACAGCATAACAACTTGACCCGAAAAAGCAAACATGAACACACCACCGCCAAAAACAGTACGTGGCATACCCTCCCCAAGCGGCTTTGGGAGATGCACGCGTTGTAGCTGATGATGCCTGGCTCTGGTCGACGAAAGGCCATGGGCGTCGCACTGTTCCGAAATATACTGCATGAAGACGTGCTGTTTGCTACGACCACGCTCGCGCGGGTGCTCGTGGTAGCCGAGGAGCCCACCGTGGAAGTGGCCGAGGGCGACGAACGGCCTGCACCAGTACAATTGAAAGACGTCCTGCTTGGAAGCCCAGACAACAAAAGCAAATGCACCGCCCCACCAGAAAATATAATGCCATACCCTCCCCAAACGGATTTGAAGAGATGCACGCATTGCAGCTGATGACGCCAGGGCAATTGCTCTCGGCCGTGAATCAGCTGGCCGGCTCAAGCGTAGAACGAACCCATAGGGGGGTCCATCTGGAAGGAAAGAACTTCTGGGGCGCGCCGACAAACCACGGGGTCAGGTTCCCGCGGAAAAAAACAAATCCCTGGCGAGGGGTTCGAGCACGGGGGTTACCCTCGTCTCACATTTTGGAAGATAAATGAACTCTCAGCCGCAAAGGTGCACGCGCGCGGGTTTCCACCCACCCCCGGCGCAACCGGAGGAGAAAAAAGGCGAGAGCCCAGATTGCAAATGAAATGCAGCAACACTCTACCCTGGATGTGGCAATCATCGCCGCCCCCCTTGGATCCGCTGGGGTGGGTGGGCACATGCTGTCAGAACGGGTGGAGGGCGGGTTGGAGGAGCAGGAGGAAGAGAAGGAGGAGGGGGAGGAGGGGGAGGAGGATGAGGAGGAGCTCTTTCCGAGCTCTTCCAGGCCGCCACGTCGTGGCACGACCGCGCGGGCGCGCGCTCGGCGCGCGCGCGGCTCAGCGCTGCCCCGCAGCCTCCTCGCAACTTCTGCACGCATTTCTCGCATTCTGTCACGGCGGCCCGATCTCAGCACTGTAGCTGGTCACGTTGGGCTGCCGCTTCACTCTCGCTCTCTTCTCGCACGCGCCTTATCGGGATGCGTCTCTTGCCCTGCGTGCTCTTCAGGACCATCTTCGCGAAGTCTGGTCTGAGAGGCCACGTGGGCCTGCCGTCTGAGCCAAGCAGGGTGAAGGGGCTGAACTTCCTGCTAGGTGTGATGCTATACTTCTGGTATCGGGTCTCGAGCTTCTGCTGGTCTTCCTCTGGGAGAGGGGGCCCCACTCGCCGAGGACATCCTTCGCTTCCCATTGGGCCCCAGCGCTCTCGCACGCCCTGCTCCCAGTGCTGTAGCTGATCGCATCGGGCTCGACCGTCGCCTCCCACTTCTCGCACGTGCTGTTGCCATGGCCTTTGCCTCCTGCCAGCCACGTTGATGCGATCGCTTCTCGAGCCATCCACATGGCCCTGCTGGTGCCGTCCATCCGCAGTCCGTCCGCTGGCGGCTGAGATCCAGATCCTGCCATGGCTACGAGGAGCTGTAGCTGGGCACGTGTGGGCTCCGCTTCATCGCCAGCTTCTCGCACCTGCCACTGCCCGTCTTTCTCGCACGTACAGCCTGCGCCGTCCTGAAGCTGCCACTGCCCGTCCTTCTCACACGAAATGGTCACTCCCACTGTAGGCTGCCACTGCCCTTCCTTCCCTCGTAGCTGCCACTGCCCGTCCTTCTCGCACGGACTGGCCGCCCCCTCTTGTAGCTGCCACTGTCCGTCCTTCTCGCACGAAATGTTCGCTCCCACTAGAGGCTGCCACTGCTCTTTCTTCTCGCGCGCACCGACACCATCCTCTTGAAGCTGCCACTGCTCGCCATTCTCGCACGCACAGTCCGTTCCTTCTTGAGGCCGCCACTGCCCGTCTGAACTGGCCGTTTCGCAAGCACCTTTCTTGATGGTGTAGCTGATGACGTTTAGACTCGGCTTCGCCTCTGCCGTTACACCATTATCGCACTTCTCACACTTCTCGCCACGTGTCGGTAGAGACTGCCGCTCCTGCACTCCCTTCTCGCACGCGCTGCTCTGAGTGCTGATGCTTTCGATGACGTCTGGCTCTAGCTTCGCCTTCCCCATTGCGCCTTTCTCGCACGCGCTCGTTTCACGGACGAGGAGGAAGAAATTGGGCTTCACGTTGGGCTCGGTCTTCGCCGCCCACTTCTCACAAGGAACCTCTGCACTGTAGCTGGTCACGTTTGGCTTCACCTTCGCCTCCGCAGCCGAACTACTTTCTGTTTTCTCTGATCCAACCGTGGCGACGAGGAGCGACGAGGGGAATACTCTAGTGAAATTGGGCTCCAGTTTTGCCTTCGCCAATGTTGCTTTCAACTTCATCGTTCCCTCCTCGCACGCCCTGATCGCTTCACTGTAGCTGGTCGTGTTGGGCTCTATCTTCTCCTCCCACTTCTCACAAGGGCTGGTCTCCTCTCGCTCGCTCCGCTGTTCGTCTTCGTGGGGCTGCCAC